TCCACGTTTTAAGTTAAGGGCTTTGTTCCAAATCGAAAATCGTGTTGAATTGTGTTTTTTTGTTCTACTTATAGTATTTCAGCCACTTCTTATTCACCATTGGATCACTAGATTGTAATAATATGGATCTTCAACGTCCTTACAATCTATTTGTATTCGCCTACAATCTTCAACAAGCTTCTTTAAAAAAATTAAATACAAAATCCAGAGCCCTGCTTCTTTATGCAATATCAATTTAATTCACCAAACTCTTCGCTTTACACAGTTCAAATTTTTCAACTGTTGTACAGTATGTCGTCGTAAACTGAATAATAGTAGCTTGAATCAAACAACATTTTCTATGATAGTTAACTAAGTATACTAATTTTTATATCAAACTTTTTTGCAGGAGAGAAAGAGGACTCTCTCGAAAATGTAGCTGATTAAGAACCAAAACCCCCAAGTAAGGAATTGAAAATTGGAATTGATTGAACAGGTGAGACACCAAGTGAATCCCCGAAGCAACAAGAAAGATGGATGAACTCGACGGTGGACATGGTGGTAGAGTGAAGAGAGCAAAGTCACTGAAGAGAGGAAAGCCTGAAGAGAGAATTACAGACAGGGTAAGTCGGAAATATTTAGTATACTTAGACGCAGTGAGATTGGGTACAAATTAGCAAGGAACCATGTGGATTTGATGTTTATTGGCAGTAAATGCATGTTGATTGCAACAAATTACTTTCATGTAACAGAAGGTATATGTGAAAATTTACTATCACCACTAACGACTAGTTTCGTTAAATGTAGTTAATTTGAACACAATAATGGTCACTGTATTTCGCTAAAATGTAATTACTTAGGCCATGGAAGTTTAGTTATAGATACGACTGTAAATTAATTATATCGACAATAATGAACGGGTAGGGAATCAATGATTAGACTATTATCGACATTTAGAAAAATACGTATACAGGTTGATTATAAATGGGGGTCACACAACATTTAATAAATTGAAGTTGATTATCGACAATATTTTTAGTTAGATCTTGATAGGGCAATTTTAAGAACAATATTAAAAAGACAATGAAAAGTTCATTATATTAAGCAATATTTTAAAGTAAATCTTTCTCTATTTGGTAAACTATTAGCACGATTATGATTAAGATTTCAAAAAAAAATAAAGTACCTACTCTATTTAAGGGAATTACGGTTCTAGACTTTTACACTTGTGGTTCGTTTTTAAATTGTGCTCTTCAAAACTTAAAGTTGTTAACAATGTCAAAAATGCATTATCTGTACCTTGCTGGAGGCAAGTCTACATGGGAATTTTCGGTACCAGAAAATAACACACCAACGAAATATAAAATATATCGCTAAATTGAAATGATAACTTGATAACTTTCTGGACAAGAAATCAAAACAATAGTTTTAATATTCTGGCATACGTACGCCTAAAAACATACGTTAATACCATCAAATGTCCATCTAGCTCGGTGGACAAGTATTGGAAAAAGAAGTTTAGTTGCTGTGGGAACTTCTTTCTTGAGGAAAAAGACTATAATATTGAAGCATTGAGTTTTTCTCAACCGATGAAAGCGAGGAATATATAGAACGAAAATAACTTCGCCTATTTTTTCTGAAGCGTCAACAAAATTGCCAGAAGAGTATTTCCAATTCCAAGTCACTCTGTCTAAGTGGTTAAGTACTTTTTAATTAGCAATTCAAAACTTAGTACTCACGGTTTCTATCTACTCAACTGTTCAACTCTTCGTTTAAATGGTATAAAGTCAGTTAATTTTTCAGGCATTCAGTTCTCTTTAAAAAACAATTGCTTTCTTACCACAACCCAGTTTATGGCCCAAAAACTATAAAACGTGGCTAGTTTTAGAGCCTCTCAAGACACTGAAATGAGCCTCTGGAGAGATACATTTTTCCGGAATTTATTTCACATGGCTTCAAGACCACGTACCAAGATGAAATAAAATGTACTCCAATTTATGGCAATCGGTTTCAATTTCGTCGGATGCGACCGCAATTTTCTATGGAAAAATATGCCTTTTGGTGTTTTATGACCTAGGTATAACTAGCGCAACGGTTTTACGTTTATATACGTAATCGATCGTATCGAAGTTCTTGTTCTTTTGAGTAGTCAAATAAATCCTAGCTTACTCTATGACCATAAAAATTTGTTTATTTGGGAGTTTTTTACATCGATAAATCCAAATTTCCTATTACCTGGCTTCTAGATCCTAGAGGGAGATCCTAGCTCCAATAGTCTGGAGCCACTTAAAACATCAGACATTTTTTTGAGCTTTAAAATGTCGATTTTTTGTTGACCATGTTCGATCTTCGATATTTTCTAAACAAAGAATGTGTATTTGTTTCAAGTTTCTCTCACCATTTTCGAGATATTACGCAAAGACAAGAAAAATAATATGCAAAACATTGTGAATTTCCGATATAACCGCCGAAGTTTAAAAGCTTATTTCTCATAAACGGTTACAAATTTTAGAGCAATCTTTAGAACATTCTATACGAAGGGTTCATTATTGGGAAGGGTAACGTTCATCTTAATTCAAAAGAAATTCCTGTTCCTATATTAAAAAAAAAAAGATTTATATTCTATATTTCTATACCGGGTGTCAGTTTGAAAATTTCCCGCCCTTAATATCTTTCTTGCAGTTGAAAATATGAAAAATCGGAGACCCGACAATTTAATTTGTAAAGGGAAAACTTTAAATGAATATTGTTAGCCTCCTTGTTTCAACCCCCTAGGACGGGTAGATGCCACCCTTAGAATCATAAATGGGAAAGGGGGTCAAGTGACACATCGTTTTAATTCAACTTATCAATTATCTTTAGATTAGTTATTACTTTGTTGTTTTTTGTCTAGAGGTTTCCGAGCATTTAATAGTAACAGTACAGTGGTAAAAACCGGAGAAAAATATTTTGCACGATCTTGCAAACCAACCAATAAGCAAGCTACAAAACATTGGGATCATAACGATTATCGTAAGGTTCAAAAATTTGCCAGTAGCCCATTTCGAAGGTAGCGGAAAAGAAAGGCACAAGAAACTGTAACTTTGAAAGTATTTGAGCCAGCATGCTTCCGACTCGATATATGAAAATACGATCATTCCTAGTAGTTCTGCATATGTTTATATTACGGAAGTTCAATAAATGCAAGTGGACTAATAATTAATTGTTCTTGTTAAGCATTTGACGTGTGAGGCTAGGGAAGTGGCCACTTACGGCACTATGTCGTTTCCATTCAAGATATGCTCGTGTATATAGCAGCATAACTCCATTTTCAGAACATTATACGTGTTTTGTAAACGTCACGTAGTACCTAGACAGGATATATACCGTTCCTTACATGTAGACACGTAAAGCAATAAAACAATGGAGGAATTGTATAGGGAGTGTCTATTAATTTTTTCGACTAAGAACTTAGCGGCGGAAAATTTATTAAACGAACAAACTGTATGTATATTAACTAGAATTGTCCGAAAATATATACATTGCTTTTTTGATTCTTAATTTTTTATTCAGTTGCATTTTACTCGTAGAAATTTAGTGTTTGCCTTTACATTTATTGTGACTGAACATGTTTCTATTTTATCGTATTTAGCTCCAGGACAATGTCTTGAACGGAAGAGCAGATAATAATGTTGTTCATGGTTCTAGTGATTGTGTTAGGTTTATATTAAATTATTCAGCTAATGGAAGAAGCTTAAACATAGTTAGATCGTGTATACAAAATTTAAAAAAGTAAAAACAATTTACTTATGTTAAGATATTATATTTTCTCCATTTGAGGCGGTATTAACGTTGCCATATTTATTTACTTTAGTGATGTATGAGTTGTTTTATTTCTGTTTGCTGTGTAGGTGTCGTTTTCTGTGAATAATAAATATTTATTTATCTCAAGTAATGCTTGTTATTTTTAAACCCTTGTTGTTCCTATTCTGTTTCTTCTACAATACTAAGCTGATGCAATATTGCAAAAGACGCAATCAAATTTTTGGTTTAAATACTGGGCGTTACCTTAAGCTGTTCTAAGTAAGTACTAATTTAATTTGTTTATACTTGTATAACATTTGCTATGTTATACACATTTGCCATTATCTCTGTTTGCTGGAGCACCAGCATCCAAACAACATTCTAATTACTAATTTGGTTCTATTTGCATTACTTATCAACATTCTATGCGAGCACCGACGCGTTAAATTTGAACAATGCACGCTCTGTATATTACCTCGGCTCCTTTTATATGCACAAGAATAAGCGAGATTAATCTATAGCAGAATAACCAAGCAAGCCGCGGAATGAATAAAATAAATAGTTTAAACAAATGAGCCCCAACACCTTGGTCGTGCCGAAACAAACGACTAGGAGAAAGACACGGCAACCTTCTTTGGATTGCAATGTTGCCAGCGGTTGATTTTTAATTTGTTACTATCATTGAATACTGAAATTTGTTAACTATTTTAAGCTGGTTATTGATGAGACATCCTGTAGCAAAATTTCATGAATTAAAATTCCACTCAAGCTAAGCTTAAGACCATAAGGAAATCTAAAACCACTTGCATTCAAACACTTTAAATTTAATAAGTCTACAACTTTTCAAACAATTCATATTCTCATAGATGCTCGGCGCATATTTGTAGAAAGCCAATTTGATTCCAGAGTAGGATATCTGGATAATCTTCCTAATTTTACAATGGCAATATCTAGTTTTTTATATTTAGTATATTGCATTGTCAATGCGTTTATGAAATAATGTTGCTGTCCTAGAGAAACTTTGAGACCAATATATACGGATCAGTAAGGAGAGGAATTGAAGAAGCATTGCCAAGTCAAGGCTTGATTGTTTCTGTTTGGTGAATTTCTATAAGAGAAATACTCTAACTAGTGGTTTTTTAGAACAAGTAGTTTTATTTTCTATAGATACCTGTTGATTACCGACAACATTGCCCCCGTAAAATATAAGATTCCGCCGACGGTGGCATTTGACCATTTCTTTGGCGAGTGGCCGATGATGGTTTTTTACCAGCAATATTTCCCACTACGCTCAGTTGTTTTTCGATACGAGCGTTATAAAGGTGTAACCACAATTGCTTGGTTTTTACCTTTGCGGCGTAGATTTTTTTGAACGAGCAAATTAATTTGATTAATTGACTAATTCCATTAATTACCCCGTCGAAAAAAATGGAAATATTCAGTTTGATGCGATAATGATAACCAACGCGGGTTGCAAATAAAGTGTATCTTGTCAGTGTTGGAAGTGTGGATTTTAGACTTTTTTGTTTGAAAATGCAACAGTCTGGTTAAGTTGTGTGCTTGAAATATGTCCGTAGCAACTCAGGTATGATGATTTTATTAAACGTGCCTGTGCATGTAAATTAAAGGACCAATAATATCTATGTTGTAAAAAAAATACATACGCCACTAGTCGTTCAATTATTCAGCGCATACAAGCGCAAGCTGGAAGTATTGTACCTCAAAACTTAGTCTAAATTAAATAAACCTAAACTAGCAAACACCCGAAAATGTTGCCTTTCCGACTCATGTGCAATCCTAAATTATTTTTTATATACTTACTTAAAACGGTTTACTTTACATGTAGATCAATTTAAATTAAAGGAAATGGTAAGATAAAACATTAATGTTTCCAAGCAATATCGTCTTGGTTTTCTGTTCGTCTTAAAGTTATGTGAACCCAAAACACTTTTCTAACAAGCAAAATTCGTTTTTGCGCCTCTAATCAAAATAAGAAATTCACATAAATCGACAGCAGCATTTTACAAAGAAATTGAAAAGTGACTATAATAATAAACTATTTGACAATTTAACAATGAGACAATTAACAACAATAACTACATGGTACGCAGAGGAATAAAAGCTGAAATTCACTTGAAAATCTACTCTTTCGGCAGTATTAATTTATATATTCTGTATACTTCTGTCAATCGCTTCTGTACGGACTTGCAGATACCGAGTACTCCTTAAAGAAACTGTCAATAATCAATATTGACAAATGGAATAAAAATGTACTTGTTAAATTGTCTTAAAAAATCTCTTAAATTGACATACAATATTCAAAGAATCCAAATGTCTTAGATCTGGAAAAATATACTGAAAATTACACGTAAAATGCAAAAAAGTTACCATATGTGAAATTCCTGGTGGCTATGGATTGGGAGTGATAATTTTTTTGAAGCAAATTAATTGTTCAAATTGCCTAAACTTATATTTTACACATGGACATCGCCACTAGATAGGGATGTCTTGATTGGACAAAGAAACAGAAATGTAATCATCTCGCCAAAAACATATCCAAGTGTCGACATAAGGTCAGATCATAATGTGGTAACCAAAATCAGGCGTAGAATGAATCAAATAAGAAGAGACTAAGAGATGCAGAAACAAAAGAACGTCCCACACAGGAGATTCCACACAGAAGAAATTCTCCAAAGCACTGAAGTAGAAGGCAAATGGCTTCTAATGAGTACACAAATAACTAGAAATCAAAAGGGAGTATTAACACCATAAACGCACAAAAAAAAACAATAGATGATAGAGGAGGTTCTTGAGTTAATGGATGAAAGGCGACAATCTAAAAACAAAGATAATATGAAAGATACTCTTTTAACACAGAGATGACTTACACTAATGGAAGAGGAAAACCAGGAGTACTAAAGGATGTAAACCGAAGGAAAGCTTTGGATCATTTCAAAAACGAAATAAATGGACAGAATATATCAACGAGTTGTTTGGAGATGATAGAACAGGACAAGTGGAAATTGAAGTAGAAGATCACCAGGTTCTAAAAATATTAAATGCAGAAATGTTTCAGAGAGATCATGTTGAACGGATGGACGACAACAGATTGCCGAAGATTGCAAGAGATGGTCTCGCAAGATCCAGCAAACCTCCTCGACGTCCACCCATACGTTGGCATGAAAGCTAGAATTCATCATCTCAGATACAACTCTAAGCAATTACAGAACAAGGCAGATGTCTTGCAAAAAGGAAGAAGAAAAAACATCGACAACGGAGACTTAAAAATAGTAACAAATCTTTATTGGAATCAACGCACACAAATAATAGATGGTAATAACGAAGAAATCAGACATACAAACAAACATAAATTTATTAAGTCAACAAATAGGAGAGGTTTCAAAATTCAAATCCCTGGGCATATGGATTACAGAAAACAACGACCGAACATCAGAAATAAGAATTAGAATGGAAACAGCAATAAATTCGTTTGGAAATTGAAACCATTCCTCTGTTGCAGAGACTTCACAATAGAACTCACAGTGAGAACATTAGGTACACTTGTGTTTGCAGCACTATATTATGAGCTGGAAGGCTGGACATTTAAATAGGAGCACATGAACAAACTGCAGTCGTTTGAAATGTGGTGTTACAGAAGGATGCTCAGGATATCATGGACAGAAAGAACAACAAACATGGATATACTTCGAGAAATGGGTAAAGAATGTGAAGTAATTAACACCATATAGGCAAGAAAATTACAATATCTGAGGCATATAATGAGAGAATAGCAGTATGAGATGCTTAGATTAATTATGCAAGGGAAGAAGGGCATTAACAGGAGGAGAATTTCATGGTTGATAAATTTAAGGGATTGGTGTAATTGTTGCTCAATAGAACTTGAGAATAGCGGCAAATAAAGTATAGGAAACGGCGCTCAAAGAAGAAGAAAATAATCAAGCTGAATAAAAATCCCATATTTTTTTTATGCAACAAAAATGAACTGTGAATATTTAATTGCATCGTCATATTTGTATGCTCCTTAACGACTTTAAAATGCTTGAAAATAAACTTTCGAATAGAAGTAGTAAACTGAAATAACTGTTTTGATCTCGCACTTCCCACTTTTCTCTTCGTATGCATTATAGCTTTCCATATCCGATAAGAATTACCACATAATTGACTGTTATCTACTTGGGTTGAATGACATTCTAATGTAAAAATATGCATTGTGCTGCTCTGTTGTTTTAGATAAATTAAACAATAGCAATATGTTGTTTACTAAAGAACAGTTAGATGCAGTTTGGAATCATTTTGTCTTAAGTTGTGGGTCACAGCTGTGCTCAAATTTAGTATCTAAGTCTTGAGCTGTTATTAAATTATTATGCAAATAGCACATTAATTGAGTATGAGCAGGAGTATCACTGCTCAAAGAAAATCGCCTACCAGTATGGCATCACTATATTATTAATGGTTGGCTTTATGCGTACGGTACTAGCAACGTGCTTAATACTTCTAAAGGCATTGTTGGAATTTATAATTCAATAAACACAATTTCCTTTTTATTTTTCCTACTATTTCATTTTTTTATTTAAAACCCGTAGTCATAGAAATGCACGTATGTATATGCATTTGGTATTGAACAATAGCGTTCCAAATCATAGTAGTTACAACATATTGTTGCTTTATACATACATAAGTGCATAAATGCAAAATTCCACTTTTATGTCGTCCTTAGTAAAAGAAACACACTTGTAATCTACGAATAACTAAAATGGGACGAAAAATATCTTACACAATGATTTGCAACCAGTAAATGAATAACCGTGGTCAAAATCATTCAGGTGCAGATGTTATGGATAAAAATTAATCTGATGGAATAGGATTAGAACAAACAAGAATCAGAAACTAGTGATTTCAACTCATTGTCGTCAGAATAGTAGTTCCAGTGATTCGCAATTGCGACGATTGAATCACTTCCATTGATATACTCGTATCATTCAACATGAATATAAACAAAAACACTCGTTATTGGCACGAAAAAGGTGTGTTCACTGCACTTTAATTTGGAACTCATGCAGGTTGCACTCTGCTATGGATGGATAATTTCTGCTATCGGATTTTGCTGCTTTTTTAGGTGTAGTTAATACATTTGCCCTTTTAGCGCGTGTAGGAACGTTAGTGGATTATTATTGAATTTTTAGTTGTGCTAAGCAGATATTTTGGAAATTCGGCTATTCATTCAAAATTCCATTCGGCTCAACATCCAAGACCGGGCAAGCTGATTGAATCAACATCTTTACGATATTTTAGAAGATACGAAGTTAACGTTAACAATTTTAAAATAAATATTTTTTTGAAAATAAAGGAAGTTGTAAAGGGTGTTTTTTTAGAGGTATAGAACTTTAAACCGAAATAATACTCAAAAAAAATGTTAAGGTAATGGTACTGCCTTTGTAGAAAAGGCAATTGTATGCAATTATAGCTTAAATATGATTTGGGGCATATGGGCGCCGTGGCTGGCTTGAATGAAGAGCAATCAATCCACGAAGGAAGCCCAATTTTCGACCACTTTGATTCCATCAGATCATAAAAAAGCAAACAATGATTTTTTCTGGATATAACAGCGTCTCAATCGTGACTTTCGGATTTTAGATTTTCGTCGCGCCAAATTTGATAATTTATTTAGAAAATCGTTGTTCAGTTTGCCAAACTTACCGTGCGCTACGTCCATTTTACGGTCGACATAATCGTTTTTGGCTCAATGGTTGAGTAATAAACAAAATTGCCGGATTTTGAGCGACGAAAAGGCAGAAGCCATTATTGAGACCTCGTTATATCCAGAAAAACTCACTCACCGCACATACCTGAATGCACGCAAGTTTCCACAACTTTGAAGCGCGATTATTCGAAAACCTCTGAACAAAAAGCAACAAGGTAGTAACTAATGTAAAAATAATTGAACGTCCTTTAAAACGATGTGCCACTTGACCCCCTTCCCACTTAATATTCTATGGGTGACATCCACCCCTCCTAGAGGGTTGAAACAAGGAGGCTAAAAATATTCATTTAAAGTTTTCCCTTTACAAATTAAATTGTCGGGTCTCCGATTTTTCATATTTTCAACTGCAAGAAATATATTAAGGTTGGGACGTTTTCAAATTGACACCCGGTATAATTGTCAATTATCTCAAAAATCGGCAAATAACAATGACTGTTGAAACTTATGTGAAAAACACTTTTATTTATATTTTCCCCATTTTTTACTACTAGTTTTGAAATAAAATTGTTGGGACAGAACACATATTTCGTGTTTCATCTCCCTTTGATATCAGTAAACTCTTAGTAAGCGTTTTTATCCTCCTTTATTTTTAAATCGAATTGTTTTATATCAAAATAATATCATCTATTACATCTCTCTTTGGTAATAACAAGTTAGTCGACTTTATTCTTTCTCCAAGTGAATGAGTTAAGTTGTTTTTATCGATTATTATCGAGTCGAATATTGTTAAAAGTACAATTTTCTATCATTAGTTATTATTAAATTCACAAATGATCTACGAATATAAATTATAAGAATAATTT